CCCAACACACACCCTCAGTGAACTAAAACTAAACTTACATAAAATATCGTATACATATACATATACATATATTACATTATTGAATACTTCAATATTAATATTTTTTTTATCTTCCGATATTGTTGTAACAACATAAACTGAGTGAGTAGTTCTAATTATAAGCAATAAACTATTGATTTAACTTTTTTAATAAAAGGAGTATACATAATTTAACATTGAGTTAATGCTAGTTTGAAAATTAGGTGAAGTGGTAAACATAAGCTAGCGGAACAGTTTTTTATAAATACAGGAGGTATGCCTACTGATTTTTTAATTTCTAAGGACACTATTTGTTGATATTTTTTTTCAATGGATATTAAGGTAACATCAATAGGACTAGCATTCTTGTTTAAATAAAAATGTTTAGATTTAACATATACACTTGCAAAGAAATCAGCAAAGGCATTACACACCCCACTTCCGGTTTTAACTTCATAGTTTGAATGATTTATAGAACTAGGTATAGAGACATAACATTTTTTCTTACTTGAAACGTATTTCCAAAAGTGTCGGCTAGCGTTCAATATATTGTTTTCCATCATTGCTATGTATTCATCCAGGTTTTCCTTAATTAAGATTTTTGATTTTGTATAGTCTATGATACTTATTTTTTCTCTTAACTGTTTGTATTGTTTCAAGTTGGGTATATTGGGTATTTTCCTCGAATTTTATATGTTGGTGTAAATTTGTGAATAGTTTCATTGAGTATGTCATAGAATACGGCTACAGCTTCATCTACAGATTTGGTACTAAATAATTTTTCCCATTCTATGTCTAAAAGAGTATTATTTATGGAAGTATAGTCAGCTTTATTAAAGTTGTAAAGGCATCGGCTCTGGTGCATTAATGGCGTAAGTAAAACATGCTTAAAACAAAATGTAATTGCAGGATGGTGATTATCCTCAAGAACCAATATGTCAACCGAATTCGAAATATTATATATCGAACAGGCGTTACTAAGTATCAAGTCTAATAAACGGTTATTTGAATAGTAAATTTTATTAAATTGCATTAACTGTAGATACGACAATATGTCAAGTAAGGCACTCGTTTTCTCTTCAACATTGAGTGGCTCCATAAAATGTTCATTAAGTACTGGTTGCCAATTGACACTTGGAAGATTAAAGTCACCAACCAACAACACCGTATTTTGAAGAAAAAAAACTTCATTCTGGTATAATTTGCTTACAACTGGGGCATATGAAATGTTATCCTTAGGTGGTAAATATATACAGCTTATAAATAATTTGGTACCGTTGATATGTTCGATTGATACCCAAAGATATTCAGCATCAGATCCGAGGTCACATCAGCGTTTTGAGTTGAAGACATTTTTTACCGCGATTAACACACCACCACCATCACTTTTTTGTGAACATGAACTCTGTTGTAACAACAACCTATTGGAATACGAAGTGTTTACCGACGAATCAGAAGTTTTGGCTTGTTTTCATACCGGCCACACTGGGTCCTCCCTTTAACTCGAGAACACCGACGTAATCGCCTTGAGTGGTGCAGACAACGGTCACTCTGGGATCAGGAATGGAACAGTATTGTCTTTAGTGACGAGTCTCGATTTTGTTTAGGCATGCACGATGGTCGTGCCAGGGTTAGAAGGTGACGTGGTGAAAGGAGGAATCCACAGTTTTTTGTTGAAAGACATGTTCATCACACTGTTGGAGTTATGGTTTGGGGTGCTATAGCTTATGGTTCCAGGTCAGCTTTAATCTTCATCAGAGGTAACATGAACGCGCAGCGTTATATCCACGAAGTTCTAGAACCCCATCTTTTACCCTATCTTGACACCCTGGCAGATCCAACTTTCCAACAAGATAATGCCCGACCACATGTTGCAAGAGTCACAATAGACTTCTTTCAACATAATGATGTCACATTGTTACCCTGGCCACCAAGATCTCCCGACTTATCCCCAATTGAGCACGTGTGGGATATGATGGGTAAGAGATTGCTCAATTTGCAACGTCCTCCTCAGACTCTAGAAGCACTTCGAGAGGAGTTGGTGGTTGCCTGGAGTGAGATACCACAGGAGGACATTGACCACCTGATCAGAAGCATGCCTAGGCGCTTTGGGGAATGCGTAGCACATCAGGGTGCATCCACACATTATTAAAGGTCAAAGGGCTTTAAAGCAGTGCAATCATTTTGAAATTTTTATCATTTACTTATTATGCTTCATTAAGTACTTATACAAAATTTTATTAAAATAAAAGCATTTAAACTGGGTGTTCGGATTTATATGTCACTTAGTATATTATTCATGATGTTGCCGTACCGTATTTATGAATGATTTTATGCATGCATAAGAAAATCAATTACCGGAGTGACATAGTTAATTGGGAACCGACATAATCGAAACTGTCACCAATAATGGTAATAATTTCCAGGAAGGTTTATAAAAACCTAACATGTCAACTAAATTAACTCCACTTTCAAATTTACATATAAATGTTTATTCCTAACATACCAATAAGAGCGGTGACTATTAGAAATTCAGCTTTATCCAAAGATGTCTTTTCACGTCCTCGGAACTTTATGATAATGGTGTTATTGTACAGAAAAAATTGTGGCTATAACGGAACTCACTTGACAGATTCAATATCAAAAAATGTGCTTAGGATCGTATAAAATACTGAAGAGGAAGGAAAGAATATCTAAATTGGACAAGGTATTGGTTCATAACAGATGTCCTACTCGAGCGTTCATTAATATTGACAAAAAGTTTGTAAGTATATCCCGAAAGCTCAATACAGCTGGAAATATATGGTATTTTTCTATGTATGAAGTTGAATCAAAATCTACCGTTTGATATCCAAGACTATACATATGACATTAACGTAGCCTTTTATAAAATTGGAGTTGATTAAGAACATGTATAACACATAAACGAATTAAACAGATCAAGTGAGCTAAAGAGGCCCATACAATTGGTCTATAGTCACGCCCATTTCATAAGGCTGCGATCTAGAAACTTCAACGTCAACAATGCTATGCAGGCCAGCTCGAGCAGTGTGGCGGTAAGAGGTGAGAGATAGGTGGCAGACGCAGACTGGGCGTGGCGGTAGCGACATGACAGTTTGATATTGTTTCATGTTTTAAGAGCAAATGTACAGGGAGATCCATGATATATGATGTACTACTAAGCTGCGTAGAATTAGCAAGCTTAGAAGCTTATAAGTATACCACCGATAAGAAAATGAGATATAACCTCTACTCTCCAACCCACAATTTCCAACCCAGGAACCTCTGACACGTGAAAAACGAAGTTTGAGCGATTTCTATTTTTTCGTTTTTTGTCCGTAGTTCCGCCGCCACTGGATCAATTTTCTAAAACTGCAAAGCTTTTTCGTCCTTGGAATAGTAGTAACAGTATAGGCGTCGAATTAGTCTGTTATTAGTGTTGTTGGAAAGGAAATTCAGGTCATTTACGAGTATATATAAAAAGAATAACATAGGGCCGAGGACAGAACCTTGTGGAATACCAGTGAGACGCGTTTGGCCTTGTTTGGTCATATGATCGACTTGTAGCGTATTTCACCATATTCCAAGCATCGTCAGTCTTCAAATAAATCGCTAGATTGCAGATCTTGTCGACTAGTTTTCGTGTTTCGTTAACACAGTAGTCTGAAAATTGCATCCAAATCCAAGCAGTACTTTTCAAGTTATAGACGAGGCAAGGATTTGACAGACAGACCGACCGACCGATGGAAAAAAAACATTTATTTTAGAATTTTTTCGAGATTACTATACCTCCTCGCCAGTAGGAGTGAGAAGTAAACAATCATATTTTCTCGAATCTTTTCAGTTTTCGTCAGAACCCAATTTATAAAGATATGTAAAACATGAGGGTATTACGGTATTTTCTCAAAATTTGAAGATCGATAATTTTAAAATATTCGGCTTGGAAATAGTGGAGTCCATGGATTCTCTCGTATTGATGTCTCCATATATAATTCAGGTAACATCTTCGCATATGCTCGGAAAATATTTTGATTCGGTTTCGTTACAAACCTTATTCACAAAGGACCCCTTTCAAAAAATTATGTTGCCTGGTCCAAAATTGAGTCAAAAACAATGGAACAATTTTTTGAAAAAATTCTAATTTTTGTTTCGTTCTGGTTTTTTTGTGGTCACTGCGAGCAAGAACGTTTCTTATTAACTTTCCTCTAAAATTAAGTGTTTTCGATATTTCGAGATTTGAAAAAGGGCGAATTATTTCGACCTCGAATAACAATACAAAAAAAACACGAATATTTTAATGATTTTTTAGAGGAGACTATTGTTATTAGTCTATACTATAGTCTAAAGTCTATAACTAGCAGCCACTAAGGTAACGTGCATCGATATATATGTCCTCACTTTGAATGCCGGACATTATTATGAACCTATAGGAGTGTGTAAAAAATCCGGTCACGCGATCCAAATCGTGGTCGTTCGGGGTCATATTTAAAACTTGCCGCCAAGATATCTTCGTAACCCGTGGACCGACTTTAACTTTTTAAAGCTGATTTCACTCCTTCAATAAGAGCTAACATATTTTATAGATACATTTTTTAATTATCCAGTACTTTTTCAGATATGTACCACGCTTTTCCATTTTCATAAACTTGTGCATAATTTTAAATGGGAAAATGGTTCAATGTTGTTATATCCACAAATACTAATGACAGTTTTCGTTAGTTTTCTTAACACATAATTGAAATAACATTGCGATTTGCAATGAGAATGAGTTATACGTTGATAAAATCTTCAAGGCGGTGAGACAAAACCGCAGCTAACACGAACAAACAAAATGAAAATATTTTTTTTGTAATTTTGCTATGACCCGTCAAAAACCACTAAAAGATGTGTATTGTAATTTCTAGATATACGAGATATCGAACCATCAAGATACTGTGACAGGTTACACACAATAACACTATGTTTTGTGATGGCTATTGAATAGGTACTCACCGTTCGGGAAACAATGCATTTAAAAATCCCATGGTAATCCTGAAAAGAAAAGAAAAACAGTTTAGTATTGGATCTGAGATTGGAATATATGTGATGAATTTGTATAACCTGCCGTGTCATTTGTATATGATTGATTGAGTCTATCCCAGAAAAAGCTGCTGCGAGAACGGTTTGAGAGAAAACAGTAAAGCGATAGCATTAGACGGCTATGTTTTGACATATGACATTGAAACATCAACATTTTTTATACTACATTGCAACTTTTCATATTTTTCAAATTCCAACAATTTTTTACGAAAACGATTGACGATCGTCAACATCTTAACCTGACTGTACATTTTTCAAACTTGACATGACTCAGCAAAAATCCTAAAACATTTGGTGACGTATAACGAACGCCTGAAGTACCAAAATATGGACAACCGCTCATTGCTTCCTTGGTGATAGAAGCAAGCAATGGCATTTAGTGGTACTTGAGATATCAGACTATCAGTTTCTATTTACATACTTCGCTAAATGACTGGGTGCATTCACCTCGCATTGAGACCACCGCGATCGCCAAAAAAAAAATGCAATTATGATCAGAACCTGTTGCGTTCTCGAAACTACGTTTCATTATCATGATCAGTCTTCGCTTTATTTAAACATGGATCGCGACATAGTTTAAATGAGATTGATGGAAAGATTACACGACGACGAAACTAAATTAGCAGGGACGTAGTGAGATGAATTTAAATTAAATGCCGTGATGAATTTATTATTGGCAATACTTTATTTAGAGCAGATGTTATTTGAATATATAAACTTACCTATTCTGGGTTATACTAGACCCTGACGTTTTGAAACAAACGATATCCAAAAGTATAAATTCATCAAGTTAAGTAGCTTTATATTTTCATACACTACTGGACTTGAGATCAAGCATTTTCAAACTACTTGATACTTGAGGGCAAATTATATTTCTTTTCTACTGAGCGGCTTCATTTATATTTATTTGTACAACCGATGAGCCGTATAGATGTATTTTATAAAAATAATCACGTTGAAAATCTTAAAAGATGCCTGCAGACTGAATTGAAATTCGGTAAATTCGAGGACAAAATCTAGAAAGAAAAATCAGGGCCAGTGCAAGATCAGTATTTGTAAGAGTGCATCGCCAAATAATTGAAAATGGTTTTGGAAATCTCCAAAGGGATCAAAACATAAATGTTCGTCAGCGCAGATTTACCCGTATGATTCTGCGTGAGTTTGATAGACATCCGACCACAAGTGTTAGGAGAGTTTCTGGTGCCTTGGCTCAGCATGAATTTAGTGTGAACGTGTGGATTGGTATCTACCGTAATCGACCTTTTGCCTGCAAGGTTAAATGCTGCGGCCTTCTTGGAATTTTTAAAGGCTGAACATGCAAATATGTGGGATGATGTTATGTTAGATTTAAGAAGATTGGCCTGGTTCCAGCTTGATGGTTGTCCAGCTCATTATTCGAGAATAGTTAGAAACTGGCTGGACGAAAATTATCCAGAAAGATGGATCGGTCGTGGAGGACCAGTCGCCTGGCCTCCACGATCCCCTGACCTAAATCCATTAGATTTCTTTGTGTGGGGATTTCTAAAAGAAAAAGTGTACCAGACTCCCGTAACCACAAGAGATATGCTAATAGACAGAATCAGGAATGCATGTGATGAAATAAGGCCTTATTTGAATAATGCTATACCACGTTCGATCATTCGTAGATGTGAATTGTGTATTGAACAATTGGGTTTACATTTCGAGCAACTACTTTAGATTTTGTATGTTTGTCCTAACTATCCAATAGCATTTTAGTTGTAAATAATTAATTTAATTTGTTAAAAATAATATTGGGAAATTAAACAAATTAATATTGTTTTTTTGTGTTTATTTGGAGTTAGGAATTATTGCTGTGTTTAAAAACACAATCTAAACGATCATCTTGTAACGCCCAAATCGAAAATGTAAAAAAAATATTATTTTCCCATAAATAATTAAAAATGCATCGAACCTTAAAAATCGAAATATCTCAAAAACGGCTAACTATAACGAAAACTCACAGGAGAGCTTTTTTATGTTGAAAAGTGCGAAGAATCAGTTTTTTTATTCAAAAAGCAAAAAATTGCACTAAGAAAAATGTTTCGGTCATTTTAATACACTACAGGTACAGTAGAGGGCGCCCTCTAGAGGCTACAGTAAAACTATGTCCATGGTTCGTTTTGTCGTACCAAAAAACCCTTTTATACCAATTTTCACTGTTATACATCAAATATTGTTCGAAATATTAAAAAAAAACTATTTTAGAAAGTAAATTTAAACACATTTCGGAAGCCACGCATTTTTCGACCCATGTTTATATATACTTTATGCATTAATTTTAAAAGTTCTATCGAATCTTCAAGTTATGCAACAATAAACTGAAACACCCTGTAGTTAAATACTACAGGTATCTAATCAGGTTTGTATCTCCTTGAAAATTCGTAAACCTGCTGAAATTTCCTTGGTTCTCTTTGCATGTCCACTGGACAGAACTTCCGAAAAATCCGTAGAATTAGCCACGAGTGCTGCATATACAGAGACCGACTCAGATTTACTTAGATCATCTGAGGTTGCACGGGATTACGATGAGTTTCCCCCGGGACTCCTGATAATTGTTTGGATATCCTCCAATTTCTTGGACCCTTTAGAATGTTTCGAATACCCTTTCACTGGAAAAAAAACCACCTCGGATCATCTTCGATTTCCTTGAATTATCTTTGAACCTCAAATGTCTTTAGATTGCTTTGGGTATCTTTAAACTGATCAAGATCCCCCAGCGGCTACAAAGTATCATTGAATTGTCTCGAACATCGTTCCACTAGGATAAAAAACCTCCTCGGATCGCCTTAACTTGCCTTGATTCACATTTGACCTAAACGTGTTAAGACACGTAGGCTCCTAATCGCCACAAAGCGGACCATCATGTTGTGGCCACTTAGAAGTCCACCCAACAATCGCAAAGCATCCCTATCCAAGTTTCCTGAGACTCTTCAGTAAAATCCACGAATAGTTGCCTCGCCCAATCATATCTCACTGAACTCTGTCCTTGGAAGACAAACTGCCATTCCATTACCAAGTATCCGCGCACGACCAGGCAGCCATACTAATGAGACGACACTGGGTCGTTATCTACCAACGAGTATTGAGTTACGTAGACAAACTTCCATGAATTCGAAGCAGGCATCGATTAACGAAGCCTTCCAGAGTCATGTAAATTCTTGTCGTTTCCCAAGGAAACAGATTAATGCGCGTTTGTAATGTGAGATTTTTCCACCGCAACGCCGCCGTCGGCAGACGGTCTGCGTATACTCTTACAAGTACGGTTTGTGAGGTTGTGGGTCACGGACACAAATGTCGTTGGCTGTAATTTCCGATACCAGCTTGAATTTAGTTTATTATCTTCGACACCAGGTGAACTACCTCGTAGCATGTATATATAGGTATTAATCGAAATTTCGTTATGGAGATACCATTGGTAGCCCTGCAAGGGAACAGAAAGTGTTCCCAAAACCTTGCAGAAGGTCTATTATCGCTGATCAACAGCCAAAAAATATCCTATATAAAATCAACAAAATATTACTATTTTTAATGTGCTAAAACCGGAATGAAACTTATTTTTTCAATATTAGTTCAAGTTTTAGAGATACGGTAATTATATGTGTTCCTGCTGTGACAGTGTTAATATACTGTAATTCACAAGAATGCACGTGCTACATTTTTATATTCGGCAAGGAAAGATGATGTAATCGGCATGATTGTGTTACGTTATACATACGTGTACATTATATTGTTTTATATTAGCCATTTTTTCCTCAGTTGGCTGACAGCGTTCATGCAAGATGCAAGTGTGTAAACAATCCAGATCAGTTTTGTTACGTGTGTGGTGATGTGACTTTTGCGTCTCAGAGACGGTCTATTACTCCACTAATAACAAAGGGATATCAGCTTTATTTCGGTTGTAAACTAGGTGATCAAGACAAACAGTGGGCACCCCACATCTGCTGTAATACATGTGCTTCAAGTCTGAGGAGCTGGTTAAATGGCAAAAAACGGTCTATGCGCTTTGCTGTCCCAATGGTTTGGAGAGAGCCTACAAATCATATTAATGATTGTTACTTTTGGATGGTACCTTGTGTTGGACAAGCCACAGGTATGTCCAAGAAAAAAAATCGGTTATTAACTACCCAAACATACCATCTGCGATGAGACCTGTGCCTCACAGTGACGAAAATCCTATTCCAAAACCCCCAGAATCCTACACTTGCGAATCAGAAAACGAATCAGATCATGGCGATCGAGTGATTCGTCAGGAAGAAGATATGCCATCAACGTCAGGAGATCCTGATTTTATACCGAGCACGTCATGCCACCAACTGCACAAAATAACACAGTCAGAATTAAATGATCTTGTAAGAGATTTAGAACTTCCAAAATGTAAGGCAGAGTTACTTGGATCAAGACTGCAGCAGTGGAACTTAGAAGACGATGTTTCGGTATGTGTTTTTCGTAAACGCCACAAAGACTTGGAACCATTTTTCAATATGGAGAATAACTTGGTTTTCTGCAGTAACATTAACGGCTTACTGGCGGCTTTAAATATAAACTATAACCCAGAAGAATGGAGATTGTTTATAGACAGTTCAACATTGAGTTTAAAGGCAGTGTTATTGCATATTGGAAATATTTTACCATCTCTTCCTGTAGGGTATGCAGTTCACATGAAAGAATCATATGACAATATGAAGTACCTATTGACATGCATAAAATACGATGAGCACCAATGGCATATTTGTGGCGATTTGAAAGTTGTTGCACTTTTACTTGGGCTGCAGCTAGGCTACACAAAGTTTTGCTGTTTTTTGTGTGAATGGGACAGTCGGGCAAAGGCACTTCATTACACCAGACAAAACTGGCCTGTTTGTCAATTCCTAGAGCCAGGTCAAAAAAATGTACAGCATATGCCATTAGTAGATTCGAAAACATTTTTATTA